CCTGCTCATTTCATGCTTCAATGCAGTTTAAGCCCACTTGCAAACTTCCTTTCAGACATGCGAGCGAATCAAAGACTTGTGCGAATTTGCTTCGAAATGCGGGGCTGTTTGTGTTTCAGAAACTTGATCCGCCCGGTTTTCTTTTTTAAAATATGGCTTAAGTGTACAGATACTTTTAGAAGGACTGTTTTTGTAACCTGTCAAGCTTCAGATCGAGAGCTGTTTTTATAATGACGGCAAGTTTAAACATTTCTGGTCTGTTTTAACAGCATACCTGAGTGTAAGTGCAGTTCTTGCCCTTGCATTTTCCACAGATGAACATGTCAGTCTCGGTGCCGCCCACTTTGGAGAGCTGATGCTCTCGAATGGACTCCTTGGTCAGCGCTTTCCTGATCTCTTTAAGCTCAGCGCTTGCCATCTCCTGCCAAACACGCAATTAACACAAACACATTTCACATCCTGCAGAGAAGCTGCAATTTAACACTTCGCAGGCCAAAGTCAGACCCAAACGTACCTCTGCGGTCATGCTGGAGATGCGGTCTGGAGAGATGTTGCCGCACAGGACGTTCCGGCGTAAGTCTGGGTTTTTCTGGTCCTTGAGGTTGGAGATGCGACTCCTCAGTCTGGTTTTGTACTTCATGTCAGTGGACTTGAACTCCTGGTAGATACGTGTCATGAAGTACAGTCAAGAAAGCACAAACCCTGCTGCATTATTTTACATTTTCCTATAAAGATGAAGCATGCATTTAAAACCGACTGTAAGTAAAAGATTATTCGCTGGCGAATGGAAACGTAACCAAAAGGTGTAAATGAAAACTGTAAATACTGTGGCACAATCAAAACATTGCACTGTTTGCTTGAGGTAAAAGTTCAAGGTTTGGCTGGCGATCATGGCCTCTACTGGAAGATGTTGTAATTACACAATTAACAGGCAAAATACATCTTTCTCTATTCCAAGTTCTGTATTCTGACAAAGTATGAATCACCAACATTTTATATACTACCATGGTATTCAAACAGATACAAAAGTGACAGTAAAGACATTTATATTGTTGCAAAAGATTTCTATTTCAAATTAATGTTGTTTTTTTTTACTTTCTATTACCAATTCAGGGCCATATTGCACTTTGCTATTTACAAAAAAATATTAAGCAGCACAACATTTTCATATTGATAATAATTAGAAATGTTTCTTGAGCAGCAAATCAGCATATTAGAATGATTTCTGAAGCATCATGCGACACTGAAGACTAAAAATTCAGCTTTACCGTCACAGAAATAAATTGCGTTTTAAAATATATTAAAATAGAAAATGGTTATTTTAAATTGTAAAAATATTTTACAATATTACTGTTTTTACTGTATTTTTGCTCAAATAAAAGCAGCCTTGGTGACTTATTTAAAAAAAAACTAAACTTTTAAATAGGGATGCACTGATACCGATACTGGTATCGGTATCGGGCCCGATACTGAGCTCCTGTACTCGTACTCGTTAAAATTTAAACATAGTATATGTTTTATAAGTGCCATATTTTGAAGGGCTCTTAAAAGCATTATATTTTTCTCTATCTGCTGTCTTTTACAGCTCAGGATAGTCACTAGGGAAAGGTTTGGGATTTTGTGTTCTTATGGTGCCATCAGCTATGTGATGTATTTTTTCCTATAGCTCCAGATTAATTTGGCTCATTTATGGCATATCATTAAGGGACTGGTTCAAAACAACTGGCAATGAGCAGAGACGGCAGATTTCAAATCACATATTTGGTCCCGCACCTTCAAATAACCACTTTCAAGCTTAATAGGAATGCTACTGCATAGCTTTCTCCAGGTTTTCTATCTAGACCAGTGTTGAGCATCCCGACATAACACTAGCTAATGTAGCTTTTGGTAATTAGAAGGATATAATCTTCAATCTGTGCTGCCAGGTGTTCACAGTCTACACCGATCGTCTGGTAATCACCTGAGAAAAAAAAACACAAAGCATAAATCAACTCAAATTAACTCCAATATTTTAACTAAACTCAAATTTTAAATCCACAAATCTCCCCCATAGTCATCTTTGGCAAAAATACATTCAATAACAGTTAATTTAACATTTTAGTTCCCTTAAGTTGTGAAGTGCAGTGAACTTTCATATTTGAGTGAAATTAACTTATTTTGTAAATTGTACTATTAGCTTTTACAGTGCATTAATAACTAGTTGAACTGGTTCAGCTTTTACCATCAGTCTGTAGGGCCGCCACCAGCAGCTCTTTGCATTTAGTGCGCACGCTGTCCGTGGTGACGGGTGCAGGTGGGAAGGTGGTGAATTTGGGGGTGACTGGGGTGGTGGGAGTTTTTGGTGTCTCCGGCTTGTTACTAGACAACAAAAGGTAACAATATTTCACAGTTTGTACAACTGCTTAAAATAATATGTATTGTAAAAACACAAATACATCAAAAATGTAGTGTTCCATTATGTTTTATTCATATTTTAAAAAACAATATTGTTAAATAAATATTTGTGAAATATACTATAATAGGTTTAAAGAATCTAGAAGTTGCTATTAAGAGTATAGATCTGTTTATTTTACATGTGTTTTTTTTTTTTTACATCACGTTCAAATAATTTTTTTTCATAATGACTCATTTTCAAATAGTTACCTAATTTAGTAAATATAATGTAAAATAAATATTTTTGTCATTGCAGCAGGTGTTATTTGCCATCTTTAAATTAAATAGTGTGCTATATATACTGTATATCAGCTTTATGCTGGCTGAAATATTTTTTGTCTGATACCCTGCTCGTTTTTTTCAAATGAAACATGCATGGATGAGTTGTTCACAATAAGATCTATAATATGCATTTTGAAAACAGATAGGATGAATTTTAATTTCAAGGCAACTTTAATGGTTAGAATCCACACACCTGGTGTCACTGGATCCAGGACAGTCTTTAGAAGATGAGGACTGGAGAGGAGATCCTCCTTTTTTCTTCTCCTCCGATTTACCCTCAGAACCATCTGCATAAAAGAATATTCACACAATCCAGCATTAATATCGGAACACATGCTCATTGCGTTCACTATCACCAAGTTAACATCCATAAGACAGTAAGAGCTGGAAAGCAAACACAACAGTAGTGCTGTCAAATGATTAATCGCAATTAATCGCATCCAAAATAAAAGCTTTTATTTACATAGTATATGTGTGTGTATTGTGTATATTTATTATGTTTATGTAAATACACACCCAGTATATATTTTGAAAATATTTACATGTACTTACATGTATATATAAATATATTTAATATATAAACGTAACATTTTTCTTAAATATATACATGCATGGGTGTGTATTTATATATACATAATAAATATACACAGTACACACACACATATACTGTGTGAACAAAAACTTTTATTTTGGATGCGATTAATCGTTTGAAAGCACTACACAGCATTTTATAAATATTTACATGTATTTAAATTATATATTTATATTAATATAATTTATATCATATATAAATCGATTTAATATATAAACGTAACATATTTGTCTTAAATATATACATGCAATATATATCATATATATAATTATTTATATAATAAATATACACAATACACACATATATTATGCAAACAAAATGTTTTATTTTGGATGTGATTAATCGTTTGACAGCACTACACAGCAGCTTCATCCCACCACTTTTTAGAAGGAAATTCTACAGTCTCCTTCTCAATCACTGTCATTCACTCTCAAATAAGTGAAACACCATCTTTTTAAGCTGTGCGAGTGTGAATAGGAATGCAGTACCCAGCAGTTTCTTCCAGGTCTTGATGAGAGATTTGGCCAGTGTCTGCACCTCCTCATCCGAGCTCTGCTTCCGCACTGCATTCACTGACATCCCGATCCGCGTGGACTGCAGCGTGCGACGCAATGAAACGGAGGGAAGATCACGTTTGTTACATTAAATATATCATTGGACTATCACAACATCCAATTTGTGACACATTATAACTCATTATATACATATGACACAAGTGTTACAGATAACTATCAAATAACACATTATGATGCTTTGACTACCTGATCATTCTTCTGCTATAAAATGCTCAGAAAAGGGGGGATCATTATTGAATAAAAGAACGAGCAAATGACCGCTTAAGATTTTCAGCTATTTAAATGCAGTACAATAGGCATGATAACCTTTAATATTTTAATCACAATAAATCAGGGACGTATCTGAAAAGACTAAAACACAGCTCTGGGGTTTTTCTATTGTGCATCACTGCTCTGTTGTGTTTGAATTTCTCCTCAGGGATTAATTTAAAGCCTATTTGTCAGTACATTAACTCCTACCATACTGAATATATCCATTCCAGGGTTATTAGTTAACTACATCTGAAATGAAAACCATAAAAAACCTTCATTACCTGAAATAAACTAAGGGTTAACTGAAATAAATATTTTTTAAAAATCTCATTTTCAGTTGTTTAACGTATTTAAGTAACTAAAAAACTGAAATAAATTTGAATAAAAACTATATAGAAATATTAAAAACAAAACAAATACAAAAGACCCAACAAAATTACTCAAACTTTAACTAAAACAGAACGCATAAAATATTTTAAAACTAATATGAAATAATAATAAACAATTATAATAGTATCTCAATTGATACTAAAATAATAGCTGACAATAATCCTACAGTAAACGCACTCTTAAGACATGCATGTAAAGCAGGCAGTTACAAATATACTGTATACATACAGTAGTGCATTTGAACCACTGGCTCTGTTCAGAATGGAATACTAGCATACTGCAGTATGTACTGTGTACACTAGTATTAAAAAAAAAAAACATAAAATGTATGCAACATTCAGTCTATGATGCTGCATAGACTGAATGTTGCATACTTTTTATGTTCCGCATCTGAGGTATAGAAAACTTAGTACTTTGTCCAAATTATTCATTCATCAATCCATTGTGGTATACAGTATTCTGTGCAATCTGCTCTGATGTATACTGCACTTTCTGGACAATGTAGTAGTAGGTCATCCAGATATTCTACACCCACGTAAATTTTACATAAATACGGATTACATTCTACACACTGCAAAAATAGTATGAGCAGTATGCCATTCCAAACATAGCCAATGAGAACAGCAGCATGGGATTCCCTGACTGGAAGAGAAAGCCATGATTATGTAATCCAAGGCAGCACATGCTCTGCCCACAGACGCCGTCTCCAGTCCTGCTGAGATACCTGTAGGGTCTCCAAAGACATCTTCATGTTCTTCAGCTCCCGAAGCAGGTCAATGGCACCATCCTGAAGATAAAATCACAACGAGGAGGAAGGACAGTTACACAACAACTTCTCAAACGTAAACACTGGCTTCTTCAACTATAGGTTGGTTCATAGAAAAACACAGCCAGTCTGCACATAAATGCTGTGTTTTGGGGACAAAACTGGGACTGACTGGTGTGAAATGTTGGCTTAAATGAGTCTTTTGTTTGCGCTGGAGAAATTTGGAGAACAACCAGCTGCCAGCTCATCACAGTAATGTTACACAAACGCTTCAAACATGAGAGTAAAAGCCGATTTTGCATGAGGATTGACCAATAACAGCCCGGCAGGTGTCTGGATGAGGATGAAACAGGTGATAATCACACACAGAGTAACTAGATCTCGTTCTTGTTTAATGTAGCCAAACAGAAACGAACGCGTGGATGAAATCAACAGTTCAGTCTCCTACCTGTGTTTCAGAAGCTATAGCAAATGTGTCACACTTACAGTGTTTTTCTTATGCACCATTTTGTCCAGCTTTTTTGCGATGCGCTCCACTTCTTGGTCCTTCACCATGTTTACAGGTTTAGGGCTGTTTGATGGCGCCCGATGGCCGTGCCTCCATTTATGTGGGAAAATATGCGCCTGTCTCTGTGTGTGTCTGTTTTAGTGGCAGTATGAGAGGGATCTGCTGCCTTTCTCTCCGCTCTAGAATGTTGTATAGCGATGGTCGAATCGCGAGCGAGTCGTTCTTTTCGGTTGAATCGTTTCACAGAATCAAATGAACCTGTTCCGGTATGAACGATTCATTCACGAATCAGACTGAATCGGTAAGAGCAGTTCTCGAGTCAACTCACCGACTCACAAGAACCGCGTCTTTTTCAGACATGTTCAAATCGCGTTGAGCGCGAAAAGTGAGCTGACAGTGCGAAAGGCAAGTTACCTTAATAGTGGTAATATTACAAATTAATTATGTATTAAAAATGTTTAGGAGTTAATTGGATGGCAGTTTTCTCAACATTAAAAACACAAATGTTTTAGGAGATAAGTCATAAAACATTTTATATAAACACAATAAACACATTTTAAGGAATAATACACAGTGACTAACATAAAGGTTTAGGATATTTTACAGGCCACGCCGAGATGTCATTGATCACCTGATGACAAATTTACGTTGTCACGTCAAAAAGTCACTGAATTGTTTCTTAGAAGCGGTTCTTTGAACGCACTGTTCAAAAGAACCGAATTATCGGAAATGAATTGAACTTCCCATTGAGTCTGTGTTGAAGCAGGGTGTTGTGGGAATTGGAGTTAATATGAATAACAGCGGAAGCAAAGCAGGCAAACAATGTAAAACAGTATTTCTAACAATTCTAACTAACAGTTCTGATATTGTTGTCCAGACCATTTTCGTAAAAACATTTCGTAAACAACTTTGACGTTTTGGTAATAGCCCTTTAATTTAATGCAATATTTAAGTTTTTTTACAAGTTTAATTTAAGAGTCTGCCCTTTAAAATGAGCAGCAAAAAAATAGCTACAGCAGAAATTTAAGCTTATCAATGGTTGGCTTAACCTAACGTGTACAGTTCACCTAAAAGTCCATTTGTAAAGAGCTCACTTGATCAAACTGGCATGAAGAAAATTATTTAGGCTACTAAGCAATTTATTTGCAAAACTGTGCAATTACAAAAAAAAAACAAAAAAACAACAGCAGGTGTACAATAAGTGTAGATAAAATATTTACCATGTTTGCAAAATGCAAAATTGCCCTTACATTTACTTGGATTGTAAAATTTAATCAGTATAAACATTAAAAACTTGAAAAGTGTTTTGAACAACACATTGGTAAATGACAACGTTTTGGAATTAAACACATTTTGCACTTAGTAAAATAATTAAATCATTATCTAACTATTACTATTGATCATTTTTGAGTGAAACAGTGATTAATTTTCCTTGGTTGTTGCTCATTTTCCAAATATCTTGTCAGGATTTCTGGTTGTTGTGTAAATGTGTAGCATCCTAATAAAAGGGATAGTTCACCCAAAAATGAAAATGATTTACTCCCCCTCAATGCTGTCCATACGTGACAAACATGTTTGTTTTGATTAGCCTACCAGCATTCTTCAAAGTATCTTCTTTTGAGTTCTGCAGAAGTTGTCATTAACTGACTTCAATACATTTAGCACACTAAGCATGCCTCGACATCATAATAAGGGATAAATTATTATCAAAAATGTATGCGTTCACTCAGTGGATCTTTGCAAAATGAGGGCAGTATTATTTTGACCTGCTGTGTGTTGTGTGAACAGGTTTAAATTTAACAGACATTGGATTTTATCAGTAGAGGGCGTCATTGTAACAAAAGTTCTACAGTATTTTGCCACCTAAACCACAAATAAAAATGCATGAATGCCATTGCATTAGACAGCACAATATCAAATTAGTGACATTTATTTTAACCCTTACATTGTCGTAAGGTCATTTTTGACCTGGTAAAATTTTTGTAAAATTATGAATAAAACTTGGCAAAAATATTAGGCACTTTTTGTCGGTGCCGATAGCCTTGTGGTTAGTGCGTCGACATATAGCGCAACTGTGCTCACGGCGACCCGAGTTCGATTCCCGCCTCGAGGTTCTTTGTTGATCCTGCTCCCCTCTCTCCACCCAATGCTTTCCTGTCAACTCTTCACTGTCCTCCCACATTAAAGGCATAAAATGGCCATAAATATAACTTAAAAAAAAAAAATTAGGCACTTTCTAAGATTCAGCCGCTCACACATATTGTTTTCTATAAGGGTACAATGGTGCTAAATTTTACATGTAAATTAATTACAATTAATTAATTTAAAATTTTCGTTTACAATTGCCATTTTGGTGTGTGTTTTTTTTTGTTTTTTTTTGTTTGATGCAAGGAAATTATTAATTGATTGGTCACCATTGTAAGAGTATCTCATATGAATCAGAAAAATAATCAGAGATATGCATATTATTTTTTTTACTTAAAAGCAGGTTTGATTCACAGCTAGTGGTTTTAGTGGCATTCAAGAAGTAACTTTTTTGATAAAAGATACACAAAATGTAGTTGTATCCAAAAATAATTTATTCGTCAAGTAAAGAAAATATTACATTCACACATTGTTCTGACTGTTGTGTAGCATTTGTTCATTTTTAAACCAGATCGATACAGATTTTAGCATTTCAAGCGACAGTGAAAACAATAGTGACACGCTGAATCAGAGCTCTGAGCGTTAATGTCCCATAATGCCCTGTTGAACCCACGGTATGTGCACATACAGGGGTTGAAGCCTCCATATATGAGTGAAGGTGACAGAGTGGCATGTTCTCCAGCTGAGGAAACCCCACCTCAGCATTGAGGGAATGTGTTCAGGGTGGGGGGCAGTCCTAGTCCCCGAAACGGCCAGCTCAGGCCTCAGTCACTCGGGCAGGAAACCCGGTCTTCATCACCCTGCTGAGGTCATCTCTGATTATAACTGGACCGAGTTAAGGCAGACCGACCGGCTCGCTTGAACATGCCCTGTTCCTGCCATACATTCCTATTTAGAGAGATACAGGCAGTGCCACTTTGGTTCTTACTTTGGACTTTTTGTGTGGTTTAGAAATGTGCTGATTGATTGAGATGTGTGTTTATTTCACTCGGCTTATCAGTGTGAGGCTGTTGCCGACCATTAATCTGTCATTACGAGGCATGGGGTCAAACTGATCTTAAATAAGAAATTATAGATTATATTGTCATCATTTTTTTTATAACATTGACATTTTTCTTAACGCTTTTTAATTACATTTCACAACAAATGTTGACTCTTTTTAGGACTTTTTTCGTACAATATTCTTAAGAAAATATTTATTAACAATTTTGGCATTTTTCCTCTTAATTGTCAACTTTTTAAAATGTATTTTTCTAACATTTAGAAGAAAGAAAGGTAGCGCTTTAATATAGGGGCCAGTTCCCTACTATTAACTTGTTGCTTATTAGCATGCATATTATTAACATATTGGCTGTTTATTAGTATTTATAAAGCACATATTCTGCATCCCTAATCCTACACAATACCTAAACTTAACAACGACCTTACTAATTATTAATAAGCAGCTAATTAGGAGTTTATTGAGGCAAAAGTCATAGTTAATGGTTTGTTAACGAGAATTGGATCTTAAAACAAAGTGTGACTGAAAGAAATATGATTTTTGACAGTTTTTTGTAATAAATAAATAAATACATTTGTAAACAACTATTAACAAATTGTAAACAAATTTTATTTTATTTTATTTTATTATTTGATAACATTGATAACATATAGCATGATAACTGATAACACTGATATGGTTTTGTTGTTATAGAAATGTGCGTAAAAACAAAATATGATATCTCCTCTTTTTATTTGATAAGAATATGTATTTTAGTATCAAAATATCTCATCATAACTTTAATGTATTTTTTGTTATACAAAGAATGCTCACTTTACACCTAATAAATAATGAATGCTATCTACCAAATATAGTTGAAGACAGTTATATATCAACATTAATATGCCATATATGCAATTAATGTAGCAAATGTGTTTTGTACAGTACATCCAATGAACTGTGCATATATACAGTGTATTTAAAAGCTTCTCCCCGTAATCTCTATTGATTTTAATAGTTTCAAGCGTGTGCATTTGTGTAGCTGTTGAAAGCGCACAGGGAAACAGGGCTCTGTGTGTTTGAGTGGGAGAAAGCGAGCGAAGGAAAGAGCTGTGACATCTCATGCAGGCAATATCATGTGTGCTGAGTTTAAACAGATCACTCTGTCAATAAGCACTTTCAAATTGAAATCAGATGCTGACCACTTCTAGTCCCAAACCTACATCCTCTTTACAATCACAGAGGAAATTTCACATCGAGTGAGTGCGACCTGTCCTGTGCAGTCAAAAAGCCTATGTATAATTGCAAACAGTTTGAGGAAAGAAACCCAGGGCTTGGAAAATCGTAATATGTGCTGTAGCGTTACTGTAAGCACGTTGGTATGTGTTTATTAAGGGCGAATGATGCAAGATGGCCCTGGCACGGGCGGACACGGACAAATATCTCGGGCACCGACGAAAGCAGAATGCGAATGTTAGATGCAGTGTATCTGCTTGACCTAAATGAGAGCTAATTGTGTTTATTCGGCTCACTGCTGTGTTTCTTCTTCTCCGCGAAGTCTCATATTACCTTTGTAACAAATGTATCTTTCCCTGGCCGTCCTCAATATGATAACAAACTCCAGTCGATGCCATATTTAATGTCTAGAGTAATTTTTCATGCTGTTTTTCACTCTCAGGCTGTGAGATACCGTAAAACATGTGAGCCTGGTCGAAGCGAATGATGAGTTACATAAAAAGTCAGGGAGAAGGGGACTGAACATCATCCAAGATCTTATTAGAGACAAAGAAGCATTCTCCTCTTCTCTGTCAAGGGTCCTCTCCGTCTGAGAGGAAAGTGCACGTTCTTGATTTTTAACACATGTATCAGAACACATAAAACAGTGTCTGTAGGACTGCAGGAACAGCCCCAGGCCTGCTCTTGATGTGCTGGGAAAGCAATTTTAGGCCAGCGGTGATCTGCAGAGCCCACATATTACAGTTCTGCTCTGATCGTTTTCATCCTGAAATACACCACAACAAATAGTCAAGTTGATTCTGCAGGACACAGAGCGTCTAAACAAACATATTAGTTGTGTTTGCTTTCTGGACAGCCCTGGATAACACTGACTTTATTATTTACACTCCTTTTTTTATATGCTTAAAACTAACAGTAGACTTACATTTTTACAACTGAAAAAAATGTCTCATGGTTTCTACAGAAATATTAAGC